GGCCCTCCGGCACTCCTCTATTGGCCTCACACTTGCTGTCCTCACAGAAACAGCAGTGTTGGCATAGCTACAGCAAAAAGTGAGTATATTTTTTTATATTTAAAAACCTATTACTCAAAGTGTGATGAGTAGTACTCCAAAAAGCCCAGAAAAAGTTCACCGAGGGGCTGCTTGTTGGCTGATTTGTAAGGAGGCAGTTCTTCGTGGATGTCAATGTTGTGGATGAATGAGTGGGGATTGAATTTTTCAGGGTAGAGTACCTGCAGGGAGGGCAGCACTGGTGGGCTCACACCACCTGCAATTCATTTTTTTTTTTTACTGATCTTTAGTTTATTCCAAGCTTACATTGGAGGTAGTTGATGACCATCAAGGACAAGGAGTAGCTTGAGAGTGTCATGTTCTTGGCGTCATTGATGCCGTATTTCTGGGCCCACAACTTCACAACCAGAACCAAGGGCCGCAATCTCCAATCAACTGCATCAAATTTTATTAGAAATAAAGAAAACAGTTTGTTCCAAAAAGCTAACGTCTTGTGTAGCAGTACAGCAGGTGGGTGTTTCTAATGCCAACAACATTGTTGCAATTGAGATCAATTTCAATTCCCTCCTGCATATCACAGAATTTCAGGATGGGCACTTTGGCTTGAATCAGCTGGGGGTTCTCGATGTATTCTGAAAGTACAAACTGCTATTAATTCTTTCTTAACATTACTCCAATTGAGCTAACCCCATAAATTGGCAAGCACTTGCTGGAGGTAAAAAACAGCTTCGTGCCTCTGATCTATCTCCATGTGTTTCACCAGTAAACACATGTCGACGTCGCTCAGATCGGAAGCCAGGCCTGTCATTGTTGAGCCAACCAGATAGAGGCCCCAGCGAGGAAAGCACTTCTATGAGTGAAAATAAATAATTAAATAATCAGTTGATTCCTTACAATAATATAAGTAATCTCTTTATAATTTTGCTTTTACGCTTTTACCTGAAACCTTATAGGTTTTAAATCCATTTTAGATAAAATTTAATAAACTGCCACGCAATTTAAATGATTAAAAATAAAAATTTCCAATTGCATCATCAAATTATAAACTTGCCTTAATGGCGTGAAACAGGGTCTTCCAAACAGACATTTTCTTGCAGAACAAAACCTCCGACTGCTGGTTCGTCACAAACTTGTCCCACACTGCCTTCGAGAGCTGCCAAATTTTGTTGTTTACTCACTTTTGAACATTGAACATGTTGAATATATTTACTTTGTCCCACTGGCTGCCATTGACCAATTCATCTGGAGTTTCGGTGACATGCAGCAAGTGGGCGTGCGCCAAGAAGCGGTCGGCAGGGTTGTAGTATCGAATGTCATCCCAAACTTGAAGAGGCTTGTTCTGCTGCTTCCGTTTTATTTGCATTGGTTGTGGCGCCTGATGGTAGAGCAGCTGGAAGGGCTGATATGTGACGAGATCAGAGGTGAAGTTCTGGTGGCAGAAGCTGGCGGCAGCGGCTGGGTATGGGGCATTGTAGAATTCAGTGTGTGACCTTCTGAAAATAATTTAAACAATTAACGCCCGGAAAGTGAAATTTTGAGTAAAGTCGACTCTGAATTTTAATATAATTCAATTTAGGTAAAAGCCCAGACATTAATTTTAAACTAATCAAGTCAACAATAAAAATTGTTAAGAAAAAAAATAAGAATAAATTTGATTAAAAAAATTAAACACCAAAATTTTGAATTTCCAATAAATAATTCCTATGTCTGTTGTCAGCCATGCAGGAAACTACTGACATAGGCTGGATATGCATACTTAGAGATTTTGACCTCCTCTGCCGCAGGTTCCACAGCAACTTGTTTCCTGGGAGAGGAAGGGTTGCACTCGTCATCGTTTTTGCGTGGCTGCCGAGGACTCCTAAAATAAATTAGAGCATTACAAAATGGTGCAATCAAATCACATTATGGGAAATTGATACAAAACCCTGGGAATGCATACCTGTTGGAATTATTTTTGGCTTTGTTCCAATTTTTCTTGCTACCAAAGGTGGCTTTGTCCCTGCGGTGTTGGTTGTTGTAAAAGTTGGTCCAGTGCATGGTTATGACCTCGGAAGGGTCGGAGGCTGGAGGCGAGACCTGCTGCATTGTCGGCGCCACGTTAATTATCTGCAGCATAGGGTAGTTCTTGGGCTCGAATTGTTGCATTCCATGCTGATCCTCCTCGTTCCTCGGCTGCCCCATTTGGCTCGTCTGAAACATCCAAAGCGCACATTATTGGCACCGGTGACATTTTTCAAGGTGGATTTTTCCCGAAAATACTTGAGGCAAGAATTCTTCCTCAAAGCCTGTTAGGGAAAAGAGGCCACCGCGCACGCAAGGAATTTTACAGGAATTTCTGTGCCACTAAAAATAGCCTGCACACGGAGCACACCGTCGACAGGATGGACGGAAAAAGTCATTTCCCACAATTGAACCGAGACGAATTTGCATCCCCTGAAGGTAAATGAGTTTGGAAAATACTTGCTCTTCCGTTCGCGGCGAAAATCCTCGCAGGGACGGAGAAATTTCGTTCGAAAAGTTTTAATTCCAATTTGGTGGTGAATTCTGCAGAGCCGCTGCCCACCTTTTGCCGGTACCGCTGGCGCCACCTGCACCTGACAGCTCAACTAAATCGGTGCTCGGCTCTCGTCTCTGATTGGTCGAGCCTAACCAAAATTTTGCAGTCATATGGTAGATGTAAACATTGTAAACATTGAAACGCGTTTTATCACACAGTAATTTGAGATCAATTAGTTTAGTTTCCCGTGCTTTTAGTAAAAACAGTTTTTTTATACGTGCATTTTTTTAAAAATGAACGATTTATACAACTTTGATTTTGCTGTTTCCACAATTAAAAACTACGAGTGGATCTTTAATTTTGCTGTCACTGACTTGTTGACCGAAAATGTTATCCAAAAAATCAACAATAGTGAATGGAGTAACATTTTGGGAACTTTAAGCGACGAAGAAATAAACAAAGTCGCATCCAAAGGTGAAGTGAGGGTGAGGATATATTTTTTTTTAATTTTATTTATAAAATAATTATTTTTATCAATTCTAGGAAAATTGGCCTGTAAAATTAAAAGAATTTGTTGAGCACTGCAGATTGCTGAGCTTTGGTGGCGCATCAAATTTTAGAGGTAAATTTACATTGTTTCAAAATAAATAAATAAATATTCTTATATTATTTTAGATTCAAAAAATGGTTCTAATAAAATCATGAAGGGAATCGGCCTAAAGAAGAGTATGGAGATCAATATTTTATCAGATCTGATAAATGAGGAATGCAAGAAAATCGGAGTTACGCATGTTGTTGATTTTGGTTGTGGATTGGTACGTTTTTTTATAAAATTATAAAAACATTCCTATCAATTTAATTACTTTCAGGGTCACTTGGCACAAGTTTTGAGCAAAAAATATGGCTTCACAGTTTTAGGGCTGGAGTCGTTTGGTTCTTTTGTAAAATCAGCAGAGGAGAAGACTGTCCGACAACAAGGGGTACTTCAGTTATATTAAAATTTAAATTAATTTAATTACTCGCATAATTATCTCTTCTGAGCCAGTGGAGTTGCACAAATTTTACGGTCTTTTTTATGAATAAAATATTTTATTGATTTGGCAGTTTTCTGAAGATAAATCAAATTTGTGCCTGAAAATAAATATCATTTTTAAGCAGGAAAGTACTAATCGTTTTAGGTAACTTTTAAACAACTTGATGTAAAATGTGACGGAGAAAAAGAGACTGAGGTTGAAGAGGTTGTGGGTCAGTGGCTTAATGAAACCGGGGGGCAAAAGGCCTGTCTGATTGGTCTGCATACCTGTGGCGAATTGGCCTCCTCAACTCTGCGCCTCTTTGTGTCGAGCACCCTTTTCTTGTCCTTCATCGTGCTGCCCTGCTGCTTCCACAAGTTGAACGTCGAGGTGGTGGCTTTTTGTGTCCTCCTGTTAACAAAAAGCAGTCTAAAATTAAAATTCCAGTTTTCAGGTCTGTCAGAGCAATTCAGCTCCTTTCCGATAAGTGAAAAAATGATGACTGTGATGGAAAAGTACAACGGATCTGCATTCCTTAGAAGGCCATTTTTGCGCTTGGCTTCTCAAATGTCGGCTCAAAAGTGGGGTCAAATGTCACACCAAGAGCACACGCAACATGCCCACCACGTTCTTGCTCGAGCGGCTCTTCAGCTCGTTGCAAAGGAGCGAGGGTTGAAAATTTGCAAAGCAAAGAGAAAAGCTTTGAACAAGAGACTTTTAGGACTGGACAGCGATGAACTTGTGGACAGCATGATGAAAAGATATAGTTTACTTAATGAGGTAAAATTATATTTTAAATTTATTGTCAAATAAATTAGAAAACTTTCAATCTAGGATGGAAGTGTTTTCAACTCGGATGAAATGTCTGCTCGTGTGAAAGATATTTTTGCCAAAAATTCTCACAACCTACAAATCATTGAGGTAATTTATCTTTAACACTAAAATTTCATAAACGTTTTCACATCTTGCTTTTACAGGGTCTAACCGCACTGCAGTGCTGCCTGCAAGAGCCGGCCGACTGTTTGATGTTCTCCGACATGCAGCAATTCCTGACAGAGCACGATTTGCACCTGCACAGAGTGGAGCGGCTGTGGGACGAAACGCTATCACCACGCTCACATGCCATCATCGCCTCACGCAATCACACCTTGCAGTAATAAGCGATACCATCACGTCAAAATTTCAACAGCCCCAAAACTTTTGTGCAACGTCTTTTATAGGATATTTTTCCAAGCGACCATAATGTCTATTTTTGTAATAAATTAAATTTCAAACGAACTTCAAACGATGTTTATTTTTGCCAGCATGAGGCCGCAGACAGATTAATTTCCCGTTTATGCTGCAAAACGATTCAGCGGCAAAATGTAGTTCAGGGGGGCAGAAATCAATAGAATGTGAGAGAATCACGCTGGCTCATTTCCTTGTCAGTGACAGGTGATATTGCATGCGGCCCACAGCAAAGGGCAATACAAGAAATAATAAAACGGCAGGGGCCAATCAATTTTTTTGTTGCCATCACTACCGACCAGATTTGTTTACATATTTAATAGAGGATGGCATTGTGGACGCGGCGTGTTTGCCTGCAGTAATATACAAGACCGCCATGCAGAGCCGCGCAGGGATGATTCTGGGCCGCTGCGTGACACAGTGCGAATTTTGAATGCCCAGCAGGAGCAGCAAAGTGAGCAGCCGTCCCCCGACATGCGTTGCTATAGTGAGTTAATCCGATTTTATATTTACTTTTAAGTATTATCTGTTGCTTTATATCAAATGCATTATTTTCCAATTTATAAAAGTTCGCAGAAACATTATTTTGCCAAATGAATTCACTTATTATATTGTAGAAGCGGATAGAATAATTTATTTATAAAAAGGTTACAAAATGATGATATAGATTAAGATTCATTTTGAAAATTATATCAGTTAATTAACATTTCCCCAGCATGATATATTGAAGATAATTAATTATAACTACATATTTCCATAATAGTGAATTTTATTTACAAATTGAGTAAATTCTTGACAAATTAATGAGCGATACATATTAAGTAAAAAATTTAGAAATTTTAGAACTAATTTAATTTTTTTAAATGGAATTATTGAAATCAAAATTACCAATTAATGTATGATATAACAAAATTAAATTATTTCCTCCTTTCATTTTGAAAAAAAAATAACCACTTTTGTTCTCAAAAGATCCCTAAAAAACGTGTTTTCATAAAGGACAAAAGAACAAATTTGGGTGTCCTTGGGCGACCTGCGCTAGGCCCTGACAACAATGACTGGAAAAAAGCTTCGGGACAACCATTACCGGCGCTTGCCAATCGACCCCGTCTCCTCAAAAGAGCCTACAGCACACTGAGGTGAAAATAAAACTGTTGCTCGCGACAATCGAAATTATTTTTAACTTATTCACTGCAGCTTTGGTGATTTACAAGGGCTTTCGACGACAAAGGCAGACCCGCAAGTACAAAGAAACGAAAAAGACAGGGAAAGAAACCCAGACAGGCTCAGCCTTGACAGGTTGGAAAAGTAAAATTTAATGTGATTGCGAATAAAATCTAATTTAGGATGGGATTGACTACTGTTCCCGCGTTGGCTGGAGAAGAGGGAGTGCGCCTTCTATCCCTTCAGCATAATTTGATTACTCGCCTTGAAGGTCTTTCTGCTTTGCCAAGACTGGTTTTCTTAGATTTATACGACAACCAAGTGGAAAAATTGGTGGGAGTCAAAGAGCTGCCTTCGATCAAAGTATTGCTCCTCGGCAAAAATCGGTAAATACTAAATTATATTATTATATAATTATATTTCATGAAAAAAAAATGTGTTTAATAAAGGAAGCTTTTCGTGTGAAATTTGTTTTTAAATAAATAAATGAAGATAAATTATTTTTAATTTAAAAAAATTAATTATGTAACTTAAGCGCAAAATTCATTTTTCTTGAACAGAGTTAGGCGACTCGAGGGTTTAGAGCTGTTGCCTCGCTTGGAGGTGCTGGACCTGCATGGAAATCAACTAACTTCTTTGACCGGGCTGAATCCACTATCCGAACTGAAAGTGCTCAACGTCGCCGGAAACCAGTTGAGGGTGGTGTCTGAGAGCGACCTGAAAGGTCTGGGCGCCCTGGAGGAACTCAACCTGCGGCGCAACAGGATCCGCCGCGTGGAGGGCGTCGCGCACGCACCCAAACTAGCCAAGCTATTTCTGTCAAACAACAACATTCACTCGTATGTGTGGATTTATAACCTTGCCTGGGAAATTATATGTATGAAATAATGGCAGAGTGGAAGAGCTGAATGGCGTGAGGCAGGCGAGCCAGTTGAAAGAACTGAGTATCGACGGCAATCCTGTGAGCGAGAACGCCGAGTGCGCGGCATTGCTGGTGACGTCCTTATCCACCCTCAAACTGCTCAATGGCTCCGAGGTCACCAATGAATTGAGAAATGTGGCTGCAACGTGGCACCACGCACCGATTTCGGACAAAAAACAGGTAGAAATCAAAATGTGATAAAAATGAAGTAATTTAAATTAAATATATCTTTTTTTAATTAAGGCGATTTCTAACGCTCGGATGCACTGGGAGCTGCTACGGTCGCAGGCAAAGACGCTGATCCACATTTGTGCCAACGAGCACCAAACTAACCTAAAGACTCAACACCCGAAGGTACCAAAAGCAACCCGAAACGATCTCATTTTATTAGAAAGTTTTGCCTAAGTCTCGTTTTACACACAAAACCCTTTTTACGACTCGTCTGATTTATTTCCATTTAACACGCGTGACATTATTACTGCGATTGAGTAACCATGGCAATTGCACTGCTGTTTAGGAGGCGAATAGCGGCGAACTCGCACCCCTACGACTGCCGCCTATTTGCTTAGCGCCAGGCAGCAACTCCAGTTCCAGCGGCAGCGAAGCCTCGTCCTCTTCGGACAGCTCGACGAGATGCGAATCGGTCCTGAGCAATTCGGCCTCCTCCAGCGTCGAGCCAAACATAGACTCGTGCGCGACTTCGCCGAGATCTGAAATCTGCGCGGCCGAGGCTGTGGAGGAAGAACAAGAAGACGAGGAGAGGCCTGCAGAGGATGGCGAAACTCTGCACGAAAAAATAATGTAATTGTTTTAATTTAATTGAATGTTAAATATATTGATTTAAAATTAAATTTTAGAGCTTTGACGCAACCTGTGCAAAATCAGAGACCGGTCACGGCCCAGCCAAGTCGAGCATGGCAGCAAGTGCGCGGGGCGCTGAGAAGTGGACAAGTTTCTAGGTTAAGGGTCCGAACTGCAAAGCCCCAAATTGCCTCTCCGCAAAAGCAGCAGCCAGTAAGAAACAAGACTGCCACCAGCAATACTAAAGAGCAGGGTATATAAATATTCGCAAGTTTTATTAAAAGCCCTTTGGAAAAATATAATATTTAAAAATTCAGGTGGCGACTATTTGGTGGAAATCGAAGGAAAGTGTCTCAATGTTTACGGTCAGACGGCTATTAAGTTTCTGGACCGACCTTGGAATCCTCAGAAAGCTGTTGAAGTACAAACTATAAAGTGCGTGACTTGTAAATTGACATTTTTCACATAAAATTTCGAGATTTAGAATATAAAAATACAATTTTATAAAAAGAATTAATTAATTATGAAACTTAACTAAAAATTATGCAGGTTCACTTACATCAGTTTCAACAGCGTGGTAACTCAATTTTCAAAATTGAAACAACGATTTCCGTCCGCCGAAAAATTTTCATTTAAAGAATCAAATATTTACTGCTTGGGACAGCTGAACGCCTTGGCGGAGTTGCAAGGGATACATTCTTTGCTCATTGAGCAAGAAGGTAAATTAAAATAAATTTAAAAATGAAATACAAATTAAACGTACCCACATAAACCAGGAAATCCGATAGTTTTCAAAGAGTGGCAAAGTTACGCAATCTTCCGGCTCGCGCACTGGGGCCTTGTAAATATAAATGGGCAAGAAATCAGCAAACAGCAGGTGGAGGACGCAGAGAGAGAATATGCCGGGCTGTGCCAAACTGTTCTTGACTGCATGCCTGGGAGTTTGCTGCTTCCGTTGCTAGGACGGCTTTCCCTCGAGGCAGGACAACCCTTGCCGCCACCCTCCCCAAACGCGGCCAAGGAATGGCTCTTGTCTACCGATTGTACGTTCAGAAACGTGGTTGCGAAGGAAGCTTTGCAATGGCGCAGAGGGATTCCATCTCAGGTAAATTAATTGAGGTTACCACCGCATATTAAATAATTAATAATGATAAAAAACAATGATAAAAAAAATTCTCAAGAAGCCAAATTTTTTTTACAAACTTTGGATGAATTTTAAAGCTGATAATTTTTAATAAGGTTTCACTAAGTAATTTTTATAAATTTCTTTTCAACGTAGGAAGAGCTTGTGTGGAGACAAAAAGGTCGCGTTCATTTATCAACATTGATTGAGTCTGGCTACGGAGCAGTCGAAAAACTTAAAATCTTGGAACAAACTTGGAACGAAATATTGCTTTCGCAAGTTCAGGACACACTTTTGGATTTTTCCCAAATGGAAATGTACATGAAGCAATGCATTTCCAAACTGTTTAAGCAATAAAACTTGATTTTCTTTTTTTTTTCAAATATTTTTGTCTCTGTTTTATTTGCGACTGTAAAATTTTTGAACAAAGTTAAATTTTGATAGGTAAATGGGGAAAACAGGAGTAATAAAAATTTTGAAACAACACTAAGTAACCATGCCTGAAAATAAGAGAAATTTAATAAGATAGCATTTCAGCCTGACTGCCTAGTTTTTAACAAGTTAACTTCAAACAATAATTAAATTTCATAGGTACAAGCATACAACCAAATTTTAAACATTTTTGAGAACAATTAAACCTCATTAATTTATTAAAATCCTCTGCGAAACTAAAAAAAAAAACTATGTTCAAATCCTCATTCTACAGTAGCAACAATATTATCTAACAGCGACTAGACACCGCTTCTTTATAATAGAGGTGAAATTCAGAATTAATATATATCACGTCTGAATTGTTTGTTATTAGGCAGACAGAAAATTGGCATACACCATACCACCATTTGAACATCCCAAAAATATGCACTTTTAGAGGCACAACAACGTTTTGCGTTTACAATTATTCCAAGAAAAACAAGAAGGGTTAAAGTTCTGTACATATTCTGGACCATTAACTTATTTTATATATTTCTTATAATTATTTTAAAAGTGTTTAAAAGGTTTTGGCTTTGTGATTCATCATGGAAATATTTGATTTTGACTATATTTAGCACATAATTTAAATATTCATAAATAATAACTGAGGTAAAATGAAACATTATCAATCTCGAAATTTAGGTATGACTATGAAAGCTTGAATTGATCAAATCAGAGTTCTAAATTTAAAAAAGTGCTGGATAGTCGGAAATTACCCAAGAGATTACTGCTCACAATGAACACCTGTAGAAGCAATGCTCCGTCTATAAGTAATACTATAGCATTACTAAACCATTTGGCAATGTGTTCTTTCTATACAGCTATTAGTGTCTACTTTTACAATAGCAGATCAAAGTTAAGGCAGGATCGGACACGCAGGACGACTGGTTTCCATATTTATTTAGTCTGCTCACGTGTCCAACTAGTTGGATGCCAAGGCGAGCTCTTTGCTCTAAAGTTCCCTCGATAATAGCATTAGATGGCTCTACTAATTGTAAGATAGTGACTCTGGTCAAAACTGCCAAATTGCTAGGCACAGCAACTTTGTGAGGGGGGAGGAGTTTTTGTGCTCCATAAACTTTAACTAATTTTAACAGAGAACAAACTTTTTTCTTATCCTTAGATTTGATTATATCATTAATATGGTTCACCAAAATATCACCCTTTTCAATAGTTTTTGCATCTTTAGGATGCAACTCCTCTTCGTTCCAGCATATGCAATATTCTTTGGGTATGCCAATTTGTAAGCATGTTCTGTTATTTGGTATGGGTCTAAAAAGTGACATCCCTTTGTACCCATAGCGTATCACTTTAGAGGTAAGATTTAAGTTATTCATGGCCAAGTCCATCAACATTTCGTAAACATCATGCCAGCTCGTTAGTATTTTTGCATTACTTTGAAGATTATTTCTTAAGTGCTCCAGCTGAGGTGGGATGGAAATGGATAAGAACGGCATTCGTTCTTCAACTCGGCCAATAACCGTATTTCTGATAGGATCCATTCTATTTCCATGGTCTCCCATAATCATCGTGACTGTATTGTTGAAAATTCCCATTGCGCGGAGGTTTTCCAGATATATTACAAGCAGGGTTGCGGTGCGGTCCAAACGAAAACGCACCGGCGCACCGCACCGCGGTGCACTCCTTGGTGCGATCGCACCAGTGCACCGCGGTGCGGTGCGCTACAAGGTTCCGTCGCACCAGTGCACCATGGTGCGGTGCGCACCGTGGTGCAAACGCACCGCACCGCACCGAACGCACCGCCTTGTTTAGTGCAATCGCACCAGCGTAATAAATGTCCATCAATTGAAGTCCAATAGGCCAATAGGCTCTTGCCAATATTTTACATGCGTAAATTTGTTTAAATAAAAAAAATTTGTAATTTTCAATTAAATAATTATTCAACTAATTAATTTCTCTTTTTTTCTGTTTTAAATTATATATTATAATTACATTTTTAATTTAATTTTTTAATCCATGTTTTCAAAATGAATGATCCAAATCACTTGATTTAAAAATTAAAAATATTTTTATAAAAAGAAAACTAAAAATTATATTAAGATTGTATAAAAAAATTTGCAGGACTGTAATTAAAGTCTGAATTTTTAACTTGACCAAAATATAAAATTGAGGGCATATGATAACCTCAAGCTACAACGCATGGAATTTTCAAGGCAATGACCTTTTATTTATTTTGCCCCTTTTTAATCCTATTAGTTTGGCATGTTGTCAACCCTTCTCAATGAAAACACGAGAATTGTCAAAAAATATCTCAAACTTCTATTGAATTCTTTCTGCACTCAAGTTCGACATGGGTTTACTGATTTATAAACAAGCGAAGCAGGTATAGAATAGGAGCTTTGTAAATTGTAGAAAGTTGTTGAGTTTTTCGTGTGGAAAATTGGAATTCAAAAGAAATAGGAGTTTACAAAAAATATGCGAGCCACCTGCAGGTCGTTTTATCGTGAGAGGGTAGCAAGAAAATATTATTTTCGACCACAGGAATTATGTACGAGACAAACATGTTGGCCAGGGCGCCGACATTTTCAAAAAATAAGAATAGAGTATTCTTTCCTGGAAAGAGAGACACAAATTTATGGTCCGAACGCAGCAGTGCACCAAGGTGCGGTGCGGTGCAAACGCACCGGTGCGTTCGCACCGCACCAAACCTCAGAACCAAACGCACCAGAGCACCGTGGTGCGGTGCGCTTGAAGGTGAAACCGCACCGACGCACCAAGGTGCATGGTGCGGTGCGATCGGACCGCACCAGGCCTAAAAATCGCACCGGGTGCGAAACGCACCGCACCAAAACGCACCTGAGCCGCAACCCTGATTACAAGTTCATCATCAATTATCTGCAAAACAGAAATATAATCATATTAAAAATAATAATAATTCAGTCTACTTGTCGATTAATACCTTAATGGAATTAATGTGGTCGTGGCTCAAATAAGTCAGGAACGTAAAAGCAAAGAAGGCATGTTTTCCGGTGAGCATTTTGTAAAGAAATTGCTCAATGTAATTAAAGAGGAACTTGTGCTTCGGGAGGTGTCCAAAACATCTTTTGTCCTTTGACACAAGGTGCGTCATAATTTGCTCCATGGCGAGCCAAAAGGGTCTCATGTAGTAGTCTGTTGGTGGAGTTTTGAATCCATGGGCATTGTAATTGAAGGCAGTGAATTTGGGATAATCTTCGGCGAACATTGTGACATAGTCATTTTGAGAGAAATTTTTCCACAACGCCGGCAAATCATCAAAGTATCCTCTTGGTGTGGAACCGTTTCCCCAGAACGGAGCCAACTCCTTGTTGACAAGGTACCTCTTTGCAGCTAGGCCGCTCAGCATTGAAAGCATGTTGGGATATGTGTTGTCTCCCACCTTAAATAAATAGAGAGATTGAGAGAGATGCAAACAAAAATTACAAAATATCGTTTTTGTACCTTGGTAAGACCCTGCATGACTACACTACCGAGAGATTCGACTAGGAATTTGTAAGTTTTTGGCAACTGGCGAATGAAATTCAATCTTGACATAGAGTCCAGCACAATAATCAAAACATTGACTCTGCAATTTTTCCACGCTCTTTGGCTACTATTTGCTAAAGTCTGCGTTACATCTTTAACTTGTGCGTATCCAGTCTCGTAGATTACTTTGCTCCTCGGAAACAGTGAGCACTTTACAACACAGAATTCGTGGGGTAGTATTTCAGGCTGGACGAAAATCTAGATGAAAATATTTTTATTATTTAAAGCCAAGTTTTAAATTTCACGACAAAAAGCTCACCTTGTGCGGCCCCAAAGTGAATTTGCTGTCTTCATTTTCCTGGCGAATAATTTTCTGATACGAGCAAGTCAGTCGCGCCCACGGAATTCTTCTCTCCGACACAGCAGTCTGGTTGATGTGCAAAAAGCCCCTTTCATCAAGATATGTGAGAGGCGGCTGTGGCTTGCCGCAGTTTATTTTCGGCCAACTCTTTATGTATTTGGCAATTGATGGATCAAACGGAGAGAAGTTTGGCAAGCGGCACGAGCTTTTGTTTTCTGATGGCATTCCAGCCATTTGTTTGGCAAAAAAGGAGTTTTCCACATAGCGAACGTAAGTGTCGTAAAGTTGCAGTGCCACCGTCACCACGAAGGAGACGGACAGTATTATGAAAAACGCTTGAGAGTGGCATTTCTTGAAATGGTGGAGCATTTTTTTCACCTGCAAAATAAGAAAATTCAGTCAAATAATACAGAAAAAAATAATTAATGGCAAATATGAAATATTTTTTGCTTCAAGCAATTTATGTATAAAAAAAATGAAATTAAAATTTTATGACAAACAAAAAACTAACCTTTGTGTCGACTAGACTCGGGATCATCAGCATGGCTGGGTTCATGCAGCAACACAGAACATAATATGCTGCTATTGGGATTTATTCCCTTATAATTGGAAGCGTTTCTTTCACTACAAAAATATAAATCGAGGTGGGAGCAATAAAATGCTTAAGACAACAGTTTTGGTAAATCTGCAGACCACATGCGGAAAATAAATACAAGTGGACTTATTCAGCGATAATCAGCAAACTGCATCCTGTATCGTTATCATGTTGATGCTGATTTTTTTAACAGGGTCACATATTGGGGAGTGAACAAGAAACTATAAAAAAAATGCAGAAAATGACTTGTATACAGAAAAAAAACTAACAATGTAGCATTAGTTCATATTCATGCATGATAACTGAATAATTATGGAGTTTACTTGTCCTAGATGGGTTATTTTAGATTTGTTTGTTTATTGTTTGAAAGAAAAAAAAATCATAATAAAGACTCATAAAAAATTGTGGCATTATTCACTAATCCTTATTTGATAATTTTGTGCTTTTCCAATAATATATAATTATTCATCTGCTGAATGAAAATGAGCTAAATTACATCATGATACAAATTTTAATGGAACAGTATAGTGGATTATTTTTTTTCACATTTTTTCTGTTTGGAAATTATATTTTCTATTTTTATCTTTGTTTAAAATTCAAATAGTGTTGAGCTGAAGGTCATGCCTAATTTAAGCAGATATTTAATTTAACAATTCAGAAAAATATTAAATTCAGTCAATAAAAACATTTATGTAAGAATTCTTGAAGCAAAATGAAAATGAAAAGCAGGCAATATGTATTAACTAAATGGAGCCTGAAACATTAGTGGCTCAGAAAGGCAGCTAAATAAAGAAGATTCTTAGCATAGCGACACCAATTAAATTCCCCATAAATATCTGATTTTGAGAAAAAAAATTTCAAGAAGCTATTTTACCAAATGGAATTAAAATAACTTTTAAATGAAGAAGAAAAATGAAATTTAAATGAAGGCCATAATTGTGATTTTTTTTTACAAAAAATAAAAAATGAATTAATGGACTTTTATAAAAAAAAAAAAACATTTGACTGTGAGACCTCTATGTATTTAGCTCTTTTTGGCTTTTATTTTGGATATTTTGTTTACTTTGGTTGCATAACTGATTACACGTGATTACAGTTAGTATACATTGTGAAGAATACCGAAAAATACCATCACTATATATGCGAATATGTATCAAATAAATTCATACACATGCAACACATTATTAACACATGATCTCCTTACAATGCATAAATAAATTTAATGCGCTAAGTCAATGCAACTTTACGATTTACACAAAACTGTTTATTACTTTGTGCAGTCCTATACTTGCTTTTAACGTGATCTACTATCCTTGCATATCTGTAATTCTGTGGTACAAAATAAAATAAAGTGCGAAAGCACAAACACCCTCTATATTGTGCAAGATATTATTCAGGCTTGAAGATCATAAATAAAGAAGTAATTTTAAAAACAGGTATTTGTAAATTTTTGCTCACGGTTTGCTGCTCATTTTCACTTCTGTTGTCTCTGGCGATGACAATTATGATGAACAAGGAATAAGCGGCCAAATCTTTAACAGAAAATTCCGAAATAACGGACTTAGTAACACTAATAATGAAATTTGCAAAATGTTTAATCAAATCGAGGTCCCTGTTTTTAAACATAAGTCACAATTTTTAAGTATTTGAAAGTAAGCTACCAATTGGTTCTTTAATCATTACCACTTTTTAATATCGTCGTTGCGTTCCGATGGGTTTCGAATTTTCATTTTTCAATTCTGGGATCAAAGTATGTAAGATAATTGGACACAAATAATAAACACACAAACATAACACGATCGGGATTGTCAGAACGGCACGACAACCTTTACACAAAAAGTGAAATAAAAAAACATTAAAAAAATCTTCTTTGCCACAATTTTATAATAAAAAATAGATAAAAGTTTTATATAAAATAATTAAATTCTGAATGAATCAAAATTGTGGAAAATAGCGAGTGAAATCAGGAAAAGGCGCGAGCAATAAATTTTGTTACGTTGGCAATCTCATCCAGATTGTTTTGACGATCGTGAAGTTGGCCACTTATTTCAGCCACTCGCCTGAACTTGGCCACTTTTCCGAGCCACTCGTATTCCTTCGAAAGAACAATGTTGCCAACATAACACCGGCATAAACGTAGAATCAAAACTAAAAACACGGGCTTAAGATTTGAAAACGATTTCATCCGTCAGAAAGGTAATAAAAGAATCAAATAATATACATTGAACGCATTGAAGTTTGGTTTTAATAATCTATAAAGTGAAACTCCTCAATGTTATATACATAAATATTTTATTTAATCCTTGTTGGTGCGACTACGCATTTTTTTAAAATTAATTTCTATGGTTGAATTTTGCTGATTTTTTGCACAAAGGTGGCCCAAGTACTTGCCTACAAAGTGACAATAGCCTCATTGATGATCGCAGCTCAGGAGCCGCTCTTGAGGGCAGCCACATTTTGAAAACGACGATTTTCACTTAAAAAAATAGTTTTTTTAATTTAAATTCATTTCTATGGTTAAAATTTTATTAATAATAAATGGGCAGCAATTGCCTTTGTGATAGTACAATAAACACAATTAGCTTCTGCTTCTAACATTACATATTGTGAGACGAAGCAAATTAGAGTTTTAAAGACCGCAACCCGCCTCACAGAGGTGTTCGGCGGCGCTGCATAGCCTTTTGTAAGATCTAACATGGATTTATTGAAAACGACGAATTTTCCAAGGAAAATTTATTTATTTTCATCGCCATTTTACGGTCAAATTCTTTTAATATTTTGCACAAGGAAGCCTTTACTTTGAAAAAAAAAAAAATTAGAGGTGCGCTTTTCTTCAAAATTTACCACTCAGTTTGCAACAGTTGTTGAGAATAAAAAGTTATGGTTGATGGAGAGGAAGCAAAGACATTGGAATTATAATTATTATCTTTTTTTATAGAAAAACCATTTTCGTTGCTCATGCGCGCAATTTTCCCGTTTCCATTTTCGTCATGTAAAAAATTGCCCAATTGTTTTACAGGAAAAAGTAAAAAAACTGAATTACCTCATAAAATGGTATGAAAGATTAATGATAAACTTGTTTTTGTTATTATTTAGTATTTACAAACATAATATATAAGTGAGTGCCAGCAATACAGTCACACAATTTGCGCTGGAAATGCACTTTTCACGTGCAAAAAAATTCCAAAACCTTTGTTTGAGATTACAAATCGAATTTATAAATTTAATTTTGTGGTAGAATTTCACAATCGAGGGTTGATTCAAGGTGATTTGAATTTAAAATCGGCTTTTCCTCGATGGGTTTTTGTGAGTTTTTATTGTTTAAGAAAAACAATATCCTGCTCTATATGTTTCGGCTGCGGGCTGCAGCCATAATTCATGAGCTGCGAAAACATTTTGACAAAAATTAGTACAAAAATGAATCTTTTTTCAAAAATTATTTTTCTTTCAAATTGACAATTTTCATGAAAAATTATTTAAATTAACATTTCTTCACAAACAATAATTTTTAACAAAAATTTGACATTTAATTCAAAATATTTTTTAAAAAACATAAATTTTCTTATAGTAATTTTGGTCAGAATATTTAAACGTGTGTTTTGAGCGTACCTTTCTCGGCGGTGGTCGAGAGAAGACTAAATTATTTTTCGGTTGGTTTTTCGGGTAAAAGATATGTTTTGGGATTGCATTGTATTCACTCGTCGCCACTGCTGTCTGCATATTTCTTTATTTTGTGCGCGGCCTAAGCAGATACCTGTGGGTGCGGATGGGTTTATTGCTCTTTTGTGCACTTGCAATAGGCGCGGCGGCACTCTTTTTCTTTCTCCTGTTTTCTCCTGGCGAGCGGAGGGCTGTTGCCGCGACTGATTTTCTTCTCCCTCTTGGCGGCGCCGGCCACGAACACTTGCTTTTTTCTTTGAAATAACATTTGGCCGCCTTGATGGGCTTATGCCACATTTTTTCAACCGTCAAACTCGGCTGGCTGATTCTATTGCCGATCGCCACCATGGCCATTGATTCTGCCGCCACTCTCTTTTTGTAATTTTTCTCGCGGTGAATAATGCTGGCGCCCTCAAAGTCGATATAATGATTTGTTTTTTGCGCATGCATCGCCAATTTGTTGTGATTCGTTGCATTTTCGTCTTGCGGTTTTGTTAACACTCGCATATGTTCGCGAACTCGTGTTTTCAAAGTTCGTTATCTCTGCCCGATATATGCTCTATCACACGTTTTACAATTACTTTTATACACTACTTCTTTTTCCGATGGGGGAATTTTCGGTTTTACACACATTAATAATTTTCTTTTAGGGTGTTTCTGTTTGTGAAGGCGATTCTCACTTTTGGGGTGTGTTTATTAATCATCCTTTTTATTGCCTCTGCATTTCCTTTCACGTATGGCATCACTATTGTTTGCATGAAGTTACTGCTGTTATCTGCGTTGTTGTAGCTCTCCTCTGTGGCCGAGCTGGGAGGCTGCTGTGCTGCTGCGCGCTTTCTTTCTCTCTCCTGCACGATGCGCCTTTGTACTTTTTGGACAAATTTTCCCGGATAGCAGTTTTGTTTTAGGATTTTATAAACGTGTGTAATTTCTTTCTTCAATTCGGCCTCTTCATCTCAGTAGTCAAAAGCACCTTGAATCCAACTTTCAATGTTGCCTCGGTTTGGCCAGCGCGTTTGATTGAAGTCAAATAATGCGCCCGAACAATAAAATTTAATAAAGATACAGTGGAATAATGTAAAAAATAAAATTCATGATTTTCACCATGAATCCAACTTTCAAAGTTGCCTCGGTTTGGCCAGCGCGTTTGATTGAAGTCAAATAATGCGCCCGAACAATAAAATTTAATAAAGATACAGTGGAATAATGTAAAAAATAAAATTCATGATTTTCACCATGAATCCAACTTTCAAAGTTGCCTCGGTTTGGCCAGCGCGTTTGATTGAAGTCAAATAATGCGCCCGAACAATAAAATTTAATAAAGATACAGTGGAATAATGTAAAAAATAAAATTCATGATTTTCACCATGAATCCAACTTTCAAAGTTGCCTCGGTTTGGCCAGCGCGTTTGATTGAAGTCAAATAATGCGCCCGAACAATAAAGTTTAATAAAGATACAGTGAAATAATGTAAAAAATAAAATTCACGATTTTCACCATGAATCCAACTTTCAATGTTGTCTCGGTTTGGCCAGCGCGTTTGATTTAAGTCATTTGATGCGCCGGAACAATAAAATTTAATAAAGATATGGTGGAATAGTGAAAAAAATAAAATTCATGATTTTCACCATGAATCCATCTTTCAATAATGCCTCGGTTTGGCCAGCGCGTGTGATTGAAGTCAAATTATGCGCCGGAACAATAAAATTTAATAAAGATATGGTGGAATAGTGAAAAAAATAAAATTCATGATTTTCACCATGAATCCATCTTTCAATTATGCCTCGGTTTGGCCAGCGCGTTTGATTGAAGTCAAATTATGCGCCGGAACAATAAAATTTAATAAAGATATGGTGGAATAGTGAAAAAAATAAAATTCATGATTTTCACCATGAATCCATCTTTCAATTATGCCTCGGTTTGGCCAGCGCGTTTGATTGAAGTCAAATAATGCGCAGGAACAATAAAATTTAATAAAGATATGGTGGAATAGTGAAAAAAATAAAATTCATGATTTTCACCATGAATCCATCTTTCAATAATGCCTCGGTTTGGCCAGCGCGTGTGATTGAAGTCAAATTATGCGCCGAAACATTAAAATTTAATAAAGATTCAGTGGAATAGTCAAAAAAATAAAATTCATGATTTTCACCATGAATCCATCTTTCAATAATGCCTCGGTTTTGCCAGCGCCTTTGATTGAAGTCAAATTATGCGCCGGAACAATAAAATTTAATAAAGATATGGTGGAATAGTGAAAAAAATAAAATTCATGATTTTCACCATGAATCCAACTTTCAAAGTTGCCTCGGTTTGGCCAGCGCGTTTGATTGAAGTCAAATAATGCGCCCGAACAATAAAATTTAATAAAGATACAGTGGAATAATGTAAAAAATAAAATTCATGATTTTCACCATGAATCCAACTTTCAATAATGCCTCGGTTTGGCCAGCGCGTTTGATTGAAGTCAAATAATGCGCCCGAACAATAAAATTTAATAAAGATACAGTGGAATAATGTAAAAAATAAAATTCATGATTTTCACCATGAATCCAACTTTCAAAGTTGCCTCGGTTTGGCCAGCGCGTTTGATTGAAGTCAAATAATGCGCCCGAACAATAAAATTTAATAAAGATACAGTGGAATAATGTAAAAAATAAAATTCATGATTTTCACCATGAATCCAACTTTCAAAGTTGCCTCGGTTTGGCCAGCGCGTTTGATTGAAGTCAAATAATGCGCCCGAACAATAAAGTTTAATAAAGATACAGTGAAATAATGTAAAAAATAAAATTCACGATTTTCACCATGAATCCAACTTTCAATGTTGTCTCGGTTTGGCCAGCGCGTTTGATTTAAGTCATTTGATGCGCCGGAACAATAAAATTTAATAAAGATATGGTGGAATAGTGAAAAAAATAAAATTCATGATTTTCACCATGAATCCATCTTTCAATAATGCCTCGGTTTGGCCAGCGCGTGTGATTGAAGTCAAATTATGCGCCGGAACAATAAAATTTAATAAAGATATGGTGGAATAGTGAAAAAAATAAAATTCATGATTTTCACCATGAATCCATCTTTCAATTATGCCTCGGTTTGGCCAGCGCGTTTGATTGAAGTCAAATAATGCGCAGGAACAATAAAATTTAATAAAGATATGGTGGAATAGTGAAAAAAATAAAATTCATGATTTTCACCATGAATCCATCTTTCAATAATGCCTCGGTTTTGCCAGCGCCTTTGATTGAAGTCAAATTATGCGCCGGAACAATAAAATTTAATAAAGATATGGTGGAATAGTGAAAAAAATAAAATTCATGATTTTCACCATGAATCCATCTTTCAATTATGCCTCGGTTTGGCCAGCGCGTTTGATTGAAGTCAAATAATGCGCAGGAACAATAAAATTTAATAAAGATACAGTGGAATAATGTAAAAAATAAAATTCACGATTTTCACCATGAATCCAACTTTCAATGTTGTCTCGGTTTGGCCAGCGCGTTTGATTTAAGTCATTTGATGCGCCGGAACAATAAAATTTAATAAAGATATGGTGGAATAGTGAAAAAAATAAAATTCATAATTTTCAACATGAATCCATCTTTCAATAATGCCTCGGTTTGGCCAGCGCGTGTGATTGAAGTCAAATTATGCGCCGGAACAATAAAATTTAATAAAGATATGGTGGAATAGTGAAAAAAATAAAATTCATGATTTTCACCATGAATCCATCTTTCAATAATGCCTCGGTTTGGCCAGCGCGTGTGATTGAAGTCAAATTATGCGCCGAAACATTAAAATTTAATAAAGATATGGTGGAATAGTCAAAAAAATAAAATTCATGATTTTCACCATGAATCCATCTTTCAATAATGCCTCGGTTTTGCCAGCGCCTTTGATTGAAGTCAGATTATGCGCCGGAACAATAAAATTTAATAAAGATATGGTGGAATAGTGAAAAAAATAAAATTCATGATTTTCACCATGAATCCAACTTTCAAAGTTTCCTCGGTTTGGCCAGCGCGTTTGATTGAAGTCAAATAATGCGCCCGAACAATAAAATTTAATAAAGATACAGTGGAATAATGTAAAAAATAAAATTCACGATTTTCACCATGAATCCAACTTTCAATGTTGTCTCGGTTTGGCCAGCGCGTTTGATTTAAGTCATTTGATGCGCCGGAACAATAAAATTTAATAAAGATATGGTGGAATAGTGAAAAAAATAAAATTCATGATTTTCAACATGAATCCATCTTTCAATAATGCCTCGGTTTGGCCAGCGCGTGTGATTGAAGTCAAATTATGCGCCGGAACAATAAAATTTAATAAAGATATGGTGGAATAGTGAAAAAAATAAAATTCATGATTTTCACCATGAATCCATCTTTCAATTATGCCTCGGTTTGGCCAGCGCGTTTGATTGAAGTCAAATTATGCGCCGGAACAATAAAATTTAATAAAGATATGGTGGAATAGTGAAAAAAATAAAATTCATGATTTTCACCATGAATCCATCTTTCAATTATGCCTCGGTTTGGCCAGCGCGTTTGAT